CCGCCTCCAAGCTCCCCCCGGCAAAACCCATCTCCTCTTCCCGCCAAAGTCACCACTATCCCGCCGCCGACCAAGAAAACGACGTCGCCGCAGCACAACCTTCCGAAACCACCATTCTCCGAACCCACAACGCCAAGTCGGCAGCCATTCTCCTCCGGCACCTCTCTCCGCCGGGTACCCAATCCCCACATGGAGAAAATCTCGAAAGCCTCCTGCCGCTGCTCGAACAGGACAAAGAGAAGCTGCTCGAGGTCTCTCTGATCGGCAAGAAAATCCCACAATTTCCCGGGTCCGTCAACGCGAACCTTTCTTCCCCGCTATTGGAGAGCGTTTTCAGAGGCGGAAATGGTGGGGTTGATGGTGCAGGTGAGGTGGATGATGAAATGCTCGTGAAGGCACTGGAGATCAGAAGGAAAGTGACAACCGAGATTTTCAAGGAGGCTATGAAGAAAGGAAAGTTCGCGATAACTTATTATGAGAATTTGGTCTCTCAGATTCCTGAATTTATCGATTATGTGATGATCAAGGCTGTCCACATGAAGAGTTATCCAGAGTTCTCCGAGTGTTCGTATAATGCCCGTGCGCAGGTGTTTATCGATGAGTGTAAGGTTGTGTCTCTTATAAGGTACTTGTTCTGTGAAAGCCCAAGTTTTAGTTTTATGCGATAATGTATAGTACTGAGAAAAAAAAAAAAAAATGATTGATCTTACTTTGTATTTTTTCGTGGGATTAAACTGTTTTGTCATGTATGTCTGCATTACGATCCATTGAACTAGTAAATGTAGCATTTGCCATGTGTGTATCTATATGGATCGATCTTGCTAAGCAATTTCGTAGAACTGAATCTTTCACAATTTATGTTTCGAGATATGTTAAGTAACCAGGGGCGAAGCTACAGCCAGTTGCTGGGGTCATCCGACACCGACGCTTTGCGTTGAACCACTTGTACGTAACAAAATTTCACCATGTAAGACCCCATTAAAAAAATAATAAGACCCCGGCAGCAGGGGCGGATCTATATAAGACACCGTGTAAGACCCCCCGACCCCAGCAACCAAAATTTCTGGCTTCGCCCCTGTAAGTAACAAACGTTGGATCATATGCTATCTGAATATTCAATTGTCTATTTTACCTATTGTAGGTGGTTGAAACACAATTCACTTTCATACCCTCAAATCGGGAAGCTCATATGCGCATCAAAGGGACAGCTAGATAACATAAAACGACTGGCTGAATGGTTAAAGTCGATCCACGTAAAAGGCAGATTCATTGGAGTCACTTTAACTCGAGCTGGTGAAGTTATATTAAGGCGAGGATTAGAAGAATTGGATGAGATTGTCGAGTATTTGGAGGACAATGGTGTGCGAAGTGATTGGATTGGTTATGTTATCAGCAGGTGTCCTGAAATTTTGACTTTTAGCATGAAGGAATTGAGGTCTCGAGCCGAATTCTATTTGAACATGGGTATGAATAAAAATGACTTTGGGACAATGCTTTTTGATTGTCCAAAGGTTATAGGCTATCTCTCCATGGAGGAGATGAACCAAAAGGTAAAAAATAAAATTGTTAATTTTGAGTTTGTGATTTTCCTTTTACAACAAATGCTTGCTATTCATTAGTAATATTTCTCCTTCATTATTATTATTTTCAACTTTTTTTTTTTGTTTCGTTTTGTCTAGGTGGCATATTTGAAGGAGTTTGGACTAAGTACTGAAGATGTAGGGAGATTATTGGCATTTAAACCACAACTGATGGCTTGTAGCATCGAAAACAGATTAAAACCTCTTGTTAGGTATTTTTATTACCTTGGAATGTCGAAAGCTGGGATGCGAAGAATCCTCACTATGAAGCCAATAGTTTTTTGTATAGACCTCGAAAGCACGATTGTGCCAAAGGTATGTATACCTTCGTGACTTGCTGAAATTGCTCCCAAATTGATAGTCGTTTATTATGTATGTTCATCTTCTCTATGGGGTTCTAATAGTTATCATTATCATGTTTTTTATTTTTGGGAAAAGGTTCGATTTTTAGTAGATATAGGAGTTGCAGAAGATGCCATTGCCACTATGCTCGCCAGATTTCCCTCGTTGATGACTTACAGTCTCTACAAGAAGATACGCCCTGTGGTATGTTCGTAAGCCTTTTAACTTTTAAAGTATGAATGGAATGTAATCACTGTGACTTTAATAAAATAGTTACCAAAGAAGAGAAAAAAAAAATATCACCTTTTAACTTCTAAGAGATTGATTATTTGTTTTCAAGTATCAGTCGGCTTTTTCGTATTTAGGCTTGAACATCAACGTAGTTTGTACTTTTTGTAATCAATATATACATGATGACTAGAGGATTTCTTACTCATGCTACTCTCTCTCTCTCTCTCTCTCTCTCTCTCTTTAGGTCATCTTCCTGCTGACGAAAGCCGGGGTTTCTCAACAGGACATCGGGAAAGTGGTTGCCATTGCACCCGAGCTTTTGGGTTGCAGCATAGCAAACAAATTAGAACACAGTGTGAATTACTTTCTATCACTCGGTATATCACTCCCCGTTTTGGGTGGGATGATTTCTGATTTTCCAATGCTCCTCCGTTATAACGTAGACGTGCTTCGTCCCAAATACCGTTACTTGCGAAGAACAATGATTCGACCTTTGGAAGATGTCATCGAGTTTCCTAGGTATGCGCGTAATCATCATTAAATTGAACAAAGTGCAATTCTTGATATCATTTTGAGTTTATATTAAAATAATATTTAAAAAATAATAATTAAAGTTGATTTGATGTAAGTAGAAGAGAGATGATGTGAAGTGACGACTAGTTAAAATTATATGAATAGATGAATAGTGAATTAAAGTTTAATGTGATGTGTAAGAATGATTGATTGATATTATTTAATTATATTAATAATATTAAGGATCCCGTGGTTGAGTTAAAGCTGAGTTAGATTGAGTATGGAAAGAAACTTCTTATATCCAAGCACGATCTGAGTTTTTTAGATATGGCAGGTTTTTCAGTTATTCTCTCGAGGAGCGAATAATCCCTAGGCACAAGATTATGATCGAAAATCGGGTTAATTTCAAGCTACGGTACATGTTAGCAAGCACGGACGAGGAATTCGACATGAAAGTCAAAGAAGCTGTGGAAAATCGGACAAGATTTGAATCTGGCATCGTATACAAACCGCCACCAGATTATCCAAATGAATGATTCGTACGAAAGAAAAGTTTCTGTCGAGCAAATTGATGTGTACAGTCTATAAAAAAAATATGAGAAATAATATCCTTCTTTTGTACATTGTGAGTGATACAGTTGTTTACCAGCATTGTATGTTGTAGAAAACTTGATATGTGCAAACTTTATATTGTATAACCCTCGTCTCCTACATATAAGAAAAACGGATAGTCCCTCTAAAGCTGACACGTGTCGCGTGGCAGATTTACGATTAAAGGACCTGAGGTTTTAATATTTCCAATGAAAATAAAACAAAGAACTGCCTATTGAGGGTGAGGTTCCATCACAAAAGACGAGTCTCTGAATCTCAAAAGTAGTTGTGGTGTAAAGGACAATTGTGTCGTAAATGTATTCGAGTGTTTCTTTGATCACAGTTGTGGTGTAAAGGACAATTGTGTCGTAAATGTATTCGAGTGTTTCTTTGATCACGCGGATGTCAATTCTCAGGCTATTTCCCTTCGATTTTCCACGAACATTGTTGTAATTTTGTTTGGTCGGAATCTATTACCGATCAGGTCGTTATGGGCTTTACTTGTGTTTTTCCTTTGTTGCATATCATATATGTTTTACTAAATTATTGTACGTTAGATGACTAGAATAGTATCATCCTGAAGCATCTGTGATAGCTCGGATTCTTCTTTTTGCTCTTTTAAAATACTGTTATTAAACAATTTCCAGTGCACAAATTTTTCAGTTGATTATAGATTAAATTGGGCCCTCCTCTTTTAAATAGATGAACAACGAGGCACTTTACTGATTATGTAAACTTCCCGGAAAGGGTTAATTCGACCCTAGCAATGTGGGCAGTGCCTATACTCGGTTTTATCCGTTCGATCACACATTCATGCACAAAATACTTAATAAAAGAGCAGAAAAAAACTAATTATTTGAATAGAAGCTTTCTCGTCTCGCAACTACAGAAGCAAACAATCGTTCGTCAAATCTTCAATCACAACACAAGACATCCAAAAAAAACTATCACAAGATCTTGAAAATGAAAACCTCTTTTCGCATTCAAAAGCACTTGAGCAAGATAAGATAATCACCAGTGCCATAATAAAGGAAACAGACTTATCTGTAGTTTTACTAGAAAACAAATTTCAAGCAGCAGCAGTCTTCATTTTAGAAGACTCCCCGGCGGCACTAGCATAGATCGGATGGATTTCATAGCCTTCTTTAGGTTCGACATGAACCCATTTGCGCCCAGTCAGCTTGTTCTTTTCGAACTTAACACATCCTTCCTTTAAAGCGTAGAGCGTGTGATCTTTTCCAATTCCCACATAATTCCCCGGATGGAATCGAGTACCCCTTTGGCGGACAATGATATTCCCAGGAATCACTCTCTGCACCACACAGCCACATCAGATAAATAAATATTTTCACATTCTGGGGATAGTTACAAAACTAACCAAATGTTCAGT